TATATCTTACGTGTTGAGGTGTACAGGGAGCAGAAAGACGAGTATACATATGTACATATATATATAACTAAATATATATATATATATATATATATTTATTACTCACGTGTTGAGGTGTACAGGCAGCAGAAAGACGAGGCGGCCTCCATCGACGAGGAGACGCGCAGCGACGTTCAGCAAATCGCAAATCAAAGAACGAGCCGAGCAAACCACTGTGGGAGCAATGTAAGTCAGACGGCTGCAATAAACAAACAAATTAATTAATTAATTAATTAATTAATTAATAATCAAGTAATTAATTTGTTCATTTGTAAACACACAGATAGACTAATTATTTATCTATTTGGATGTTTCAGCATATATATATAATATATATATCTACATCTACATGTACATGGATATCATTCGTATGTAAATATGCCCAAAACCGAACATATAATAAAATATATATGTTATTATATATTATATATATATACATATAGATATATATATGTAAATATATATATGTGCATATACAATTGCGTTTGTTTAGTTGTCGGTTTCATGAATTTCTTCTATTTCCCTTTTATTTTAATTTTATTTTTATTTATTTTGTTATTATAATATATATTATTATATATATTATTTATTATTTTTCCTGTTTCTTCAACTCACTCTTCATTACTTCTACTCTCGGGTGTGCGTTTGCATTTCTTTGTATGCCCTGACTGTCTGGCGCCCGCTCTAATGCCTTTAAAAACAAAACAATAAACAAGCAAAAGAAAAAAAATAAAACAAAGACAAAATGTTGAAGTGTACATACACCGCAAGAAGAGCCATACAATATTGAGGTGTATGTACACCTCGTTTGCATACAAATATCTGAACTAAAAACTCGATTGAATTAAATTAAATATAGTAAAACATATTTTAATATTATTATTCAATTAAATTCAATTAAATGTAATTAAAATAACTAAAAAAGAAGCAAAGAATTACCATAGGGTGGGTCTGTTATAATGCAGTCTACCCAAGGCTTCCCTCCTTGTATATTTCTAGATAAATATGCAGCTTTATATATTTCTTTTTTATTTGTTTTATTGTCTTCATTTATATTAATCTTCTCTTTCTCTCCCTCAGAGTTATTATCTGCACTCGTTTTGCTTTCGCTGCGCTCTTCATAAGGCAGCCGCCACACCTGCAGAGCATAAATAAACAAATTAAACATTATTGATTAAATTACTTAGTTAATCAATTAACTAATTAATTAAATAGCACCGTTAATAACTAAATTAATTTAATTTATTATTTGCAATAATAAACAATTGACAAACCCAAGCAGCGTTGTCGCAGCGAATAATTTCGGGGCGCCTCAAACCGTAATCTTCAAAATTACGAAATATATCCGTACGCTCTAAACCCCACAAACCACAAACCCTAAACCCTAAACCCTAAACCCTAAACCCTAAACCCTAAACCCTAAACCCTAGACCCTAGACCCTATACCCTAAACCGTTAACCCTAAGCCCTAGCCCCTGAACCCTAAACCCTAGGCATGCCCTAAACCCTAAACCCTATACCCTAAACCCTAAACCCTAGGCATGTCCTAAACCCTAAACCCTAAGCAAGGACTATGCAGCAACGGAAGGAGGCAAATGGCGTCGTTTGAGATGTGTATTGTCTGCATGCAGCCCCTGAAAAGTGTTTAAGAATAGATTAATGTATTTGTTCTTTTACTGTTTTGCAAGGAGAGATGTGGGTTTAAATAAGAGACTCCATAGCCCTTTAAAACGCGAATATCAATGTCTGCTCCTATGCACAACGCCCTGAAGAGAAAGAAGCGAAAAACGAAACAAAATAATCTTAAACTTTAACAAATACAAGAAACAAAACAAACAAAGGAATGAACTGGTGTTGCATGCATTAAAATATATTTAAAGTATAAATATATATATATATATATACAGATTAGATATATATATATATATATATATCTGCGCAGAAGAGGGTTTACATTTTAGTTGGTGCGGCGTTTTGCTATTTAATTGTTTGTAATATTTAAAAATTTTTAATTAATTGAAAAAACAAATATTTGTCGTTTAAACCCCGAAACAACAATTATTATCCTTTTATTATCTCTATTACATTTAAAATATAATAAATATAAAATATATTATTAAATATATTTATCTGCATGCATAAACAAACCCGTAGTATGATGCAGCAATCAATAGACTGCCTGTGCCGACGAAAGGGTCTAGGACGACGCTATTAGCCGCCACCAAACCCTAAAAAGAAAAACAAATAAAATAAATAAATAAATAAATAAATAAATAATAGTAGAAGCAAATAAATGAATAATAATAAATAATAATAACATTCTTATTTTAATAAATTAATGCAGTTAATAGTTAAACAGAAAAACCAAACAAGTACTACCCTATAAAACAACAATACGCATTATACTAAAATGCCTAGTAATAACTAATAACAAACAGTATATATAAATAAATATATATATATATATATATTTGAGGTGTATATACACCTGATTGCACATAAGAAAAGCGAGCTCGCAGTCGAGTGATGTGGGGCCGAGTACGGGGCGCAGCGGCAGCCGAAATTTGAACCAAAAGGGTTTTTCTTTTTTCTTGCTAATTATCTCTCGGCCGAAGTAAACACAAGTAAATGAAGACAAATGCAACTCGTGAGACCATTGCTGCACCAAACAGCAGCAGCAGCAGCAGCAAACAGCAGCAGCAAACAGCAGCAGCAGCAGCAGCAGCAGCAAGAGGATATATAGATATTCATATTATATATTTTCAATGTACATATCTGCATGAACATTATAGGTTTTTCTCTGGTTTTTTTTCTCTTAATGTATTTGTTATTTGAAGCATTATATATATTTAATAGAATTATGTTTAATTATTTTATTAATTCTGTTTACCTCTGCAACAACTAAAGTAGTTGCTGGATGATGCAGGTCTACAGGCTCGTCACCAACGAAAAGAGAAGAAAAAAAATTCATCCTCTCTCTCTGCTCTTCGCTGCTAAGAGAGCGGCCGAAGGCTCCGACATAAAATGCCCAGGGCTTTTCTTTGTTAATCCAAGTTGTAAATTCTTTCTTCTTTTCTTCTGTCTTCATCGCCTCTAATACTTCTTCGTACGAACGCCCAGACGCCCACACCTAATCAAACAAACACAAACAACAAATAAACGCAAACAGCTATAAACGCATTCATAAAAATACCTTCAGATATTATATAATCATGTAATTTATGCTTTATTCTTATTGATGTAGTAGTGCTGCTGCTGCAATACAGATAGTTGTTGAAACCAGATTAATAAATAATTATCAAATTGTTCAAATATATATATGTATATACACATATATATACACTGAAATGAAAGGGTGGAGGCGATTAAATATATTCATAGTCGAGCAGAAAGAAGATTCAAATGCTGGAGTTGCTGCAAGGCGGCAACAAAAACAGCAATTGTAGCAGCAACAACAGCAGCAACAACAAGAACAGCAACTGCAGCAGCAGCATCATCCCCAGCCGCAACAGCACCTGCAGCAGCAACAGCAGCAGCACCGCAGCCGCAGAAAACCAGCAGCAGCATCACAGCAGCAAACCAGCATATATTTGCATAGTCTGACGTCTATGAAGGCCTTGATGAGTATAGATCTCTTCATAACAGCTCTGCAGAAGGCTTCGTTGGGGACTTGAACGAAGACAAACTGCTCTTCAGAAGCAGAGGAAGGCCGGCGGCATCCTTCCCATAAAGAGTTTGGATCGACGCCCTCCATGAGCGCCAGGGCCTCCAGCTCTTCGATTCGCATGCCATTGTATTCATTGTGATGCAGAAACCAGCACAACACTAACATGCTGCAAAGAAGAAGGAAAGAAAAGAAACGGAATTCAATGCAATCAGGATACACTGCAGAAAGAAAAGAGAAAGAAATTTCAATATAAAATGAAAAGAAAAACTTTTAAAAAGAAAAGAAAAGAAAGCAAATACAATAATGCAGATCTAGAAACCTGAATATCTGCAGCTTCTCGCGCTTGCAACGGAATGGGGTGTACAGACACCTCAAGAGTAGGGAATCGAACGGAAAAGTTTTGAATTGTACGAACAAATTAAATAAACTTTCATAGATTTTTTCAAAGAAATACAAAAAATCTAACAAACTTCAACATGAAGGATGCATGTCGGTTCAGCCCCTCTGTTCAGAAAGAGCTTCTTCTTCGTTGTTAATGCCCAATATACATATCGATATTACCAGGAAAATCGGAAGAATTGAATAATTTGAATAAAAATAACTTCAGTTTGTACAAAATAAATGAGTTGTTTACGTTAAACAATATCTTAATTCACCTTTGTTTATAAACACTCATTACCTCTTCAGCTAGAGGCTGTCGAGGGCCCCACGGTATGCAGTCTGTTTCCTCTCAACGACAATTTATTCATTTCTCTGTCTTTTCTTTGTTTTTATATATTTTTTGTGTTGTTTTATTTGTTCTTTTCTCCTTAAAGCCTTCAAATTTCGTCTTCTGCCGGGGGTTTCTCCGGTGTATCGACAGCTGCTGGGCTGTCTGCACGTCGAGCGTTTCAGCATACCGGGGGGCTGAGGTCTGCATATCTTTTTAATATATTTTCGGAATTATGCTTGAAATAAATGAATAAATAATTTGTGTTTGAATTAAATGCGACCAAAAGAAGTCTGTACACTCCAATATAGAAGGCGTGGAGGAGGGGGGATGTCTTCTGCAGCCCTGCGATGATATTTCTTTTTGTTTGCAGATATTTCTTTTTCTTCTTTTTCTTCTTTTTCTCTTTTATTTTTTTCTTTGATTTGTTGACTGAGTTTAACTCGAATGTCGCTGAGGGCTCTCGATTAGAATGCTGTAATCAGCTGCAGGGCGTCTCCTCCCTTACCCCCAGGAGTATAAACAAATTGGTTTATAGGCGGTATATCCCTCTGCGTTATCTCTTTTTATTTCCAGATGAATTTAAATATCACTTTGCACCCAACCGCGGCGCCTGCTGCAGTCAGGTGTACAGACACCAGCAGGGGCTGCTGCCTTCTTCCTTTATGAATAGAGGAGAAAGAAATAGAGTTGTTTTAAACAAATTAAAATGCTCGGGGGGTGCAAACGAAGGAGACAGCCTCGAAACAAAGACAGAAAACAATGATAAAATTGATAAAACAGAAGAGAGGAACAATAAAAGTGAAGCAAAACAAACAAATTATAAAATTATTTCGCAGCACCAACATAAAAATGAAGAAGACCGACACGCCAAACGCCTGCAACAAAAACGCGTCCGTGCTGCTGCTGCTGCTGCTGTTGCTGCTGCTCTTACTGCTGCTCTTGCTGCTGCGGCTGGCGTGTAGAGTGTCTGGCTGCAGCTAAGACGCGGTTGCATGCATGCATGCGGATGAATTTGCAGAGAATATCTTCCGCTATGTTTGCAGCAAAGACAAGAGGTTTTACAATTTGGGGTTTAGGGTTTAGGGTTTAGGGTTTGTGTGCTGTATGCTGCAGCGGCATGCAGCGTATCTGCAGAGAGGGCAGCGGTTTGGTTCTTTCGCGCGTGGAGGCGGTTTGCACTTAAGTTCAAAAGAGAGAAAACAAACAGAAGAAGAATTAAACCAAGCAGAAATTAAGATAGACGCGCTCTTGAGCGGCAAAGATGTGGATTTGGAATGCAAAGAAATGCAAAACTGCGTTGTAAATATCAATGCAAAACTCTCAGGACGCCTCACCCATGAGGTAGCTGCCTATACACCTCAAGCTGCATGTACACCTCAAGCTGCCTATATACCTCAAGCTGCCTATACACCTGAAGCTGCATGTACACCTGAAGCTGCATGTACACCTGAAGCTGCATGTACACCTGAAGCTGCCTATACACCTCAAGCTGCCTGTACACCTCAAGCTGCCTGTACACCTGAACCTGCGTGTACACCTGAACGGCTTAATCCCACTGTTTTACTGTTGTTGCTCTTACGAACGCACATACACCTCAATGCATGCACTATGGTGTACATACACCACAACAATTGTTGCGTTAGCCTCAACGCCCAGCTGTAGCCTGCGTAACCTATATATATATATATATATATATATATATA